GTTGAAACAAAAATGACCCCACATCATTACATCTAGGGGGAAATCATCCATTTATAGCGATATTTGGTAATTCTAATTCAATAATTGAATTTAAATATATTATGTGAAAATTAATTAAATTTATTTGATAATTTATAATTGTATCATTTTAAAGTTTAAGTAATTTGCAAATGTAAGTTTAAATTTTTTTTAAAAAAATTATACAAATTTTTTTATTTAATGCTAATTGAATTTGTAATTATTTATATATAAGTGTAGTATACTATTATGATATCATTTCCAGTGCTATCACCACCACTATATCACATTTTGTTACAGTTAACATCATTTCATTACCACACCATACCTGTTATTATCAATACCATCCCTTCTCCACCACTGCCTTTCCTCCACCACCGCGACACCAGCCCTCCACCTCCACGTCCACCACCACCACATTTCACTTTTTATGTAAGTTTATAAGATGATTAATTACACTAGGCTTCGTTTGAAAAGTAGGTTGGCTTTTTGACTTTTTTGGCTATTTTAGCTTAGGCTAAAAATGCTTAGTTTGGGAAGAGTTTTTTGACTTTTTGATTTTTTTAACTTTTTTGTGAGAGAAGAGTGTAATGATTATCGGTTGGATGTGATGTTTTATTTTTTGTGACTAATAGCCTATTTTGTTTTTTGTAACTAAAATAGTCAAAAAAACTCCAAATCCATCTTCCCGAACGGAGCTTTAAAACTCGTTTAACTATTAACAAACATCACTCATCCCTTTTTTCTTTTTCTTTTTTTTTTCCTTTCTATATATTTTTATACTAGATAGATTACAAATAAAAAAACAAAAACACAAAAATTAACACAAGTTTTTTTGAAAATAAATATAATTTTTTAACTGAATTCTAAACTTACGCCTTAAGTTTTATTTAGGGATTGTTTGGAATGATCTAAATAAGTGCACTTTTTAACTTTTTATGAAATTTGAGTTGGGTTTGAAGTGATGTGATAAAGAAGTAATGTGACTTAAATAAGATGATGTGACTTAAATAGAATAATGATTTTTTGACTTTTATAGTTTATGACAAATAAGGCCTAAAGATTGTTTTGAATATAGCTTATAAATTGACTTTTTAATTATTAAAAAAATATACAAAAAAATAAAAATAAATAATATGATAAAAATAAATTAATAAATAACTTATTTTTTGCGCCTCAAAAAAAAACCCTAAACTGATCTAACTCATATTGGTTTGGTTTGAAAAGTAGATTGACTTTTTGACTTTTTGATTTTTTTTTACTATTTTAACTTGAAGCTAAAAGGCTTGATTTAGAAAGAATTTTTGATTATTTTAGTTTTTTTAATTTTTTTATGAGAGAAAAAATATAATAAATATAAATTAAATATGATATTATTTTGTCTTATCGATACTAAAAAATTTATTTTATTTTTTATAACTATTTCAACCCTAAACGCACCCAAACCCATGTCCCAAACAATGGCATTGTAATGCTTACAAAAACATCAACGTTGTCATTCATATATAGTAAAACACAGAAACCTAAGCCTAATTGTTTGTCCTCATGGTATATTTCATGCAAGCTGTCAGTTGTCGGACACCCCAACAGCATCAAACTAGAGGCCCGGTCACCAGTTCTGGACCACGCCCTCCTTGTTATTTTATTTTTACTTTTATAATAAAAATTAAATATGACGGTAATATTTATATACTGATGTCACCAACTAATAATCTATATAATAAAATATGATAATTTTTAAAAATATTCAAAACATATCAAAGATACATTTGATTTTAATGGTATAGATGCACGCTACTTTCATAATATAACCAACTTACCACATATGAATAAAAAAAAATGTATTGATTAATAATACTATGTTATTATATCGCCATTATATTGATTTTTTTTTTCCCCACACTTATCTTACAACACGGGAGCAAATATCACTCTACCCCTTTCATTGATAAACAAATATATTTTAACTCATCAATTATAAAAATATTTCATTTTTACTCTTATTCAAATTTCCTCCAAAAATAATTAGTGTTTTGGTTTTAATTTTTTGAAATTGAGTTTTTTTTTTGTATTTTTTTGTTGTTTTTGGTAAATATTTTTAAAATTTTAAGCATTTTTTTTTCTTTTTTAGATGCACCTTACTTAAATATATCTAAATAATAAAATATTTGTGAAAAAATATTTTAACAAATTAATAAATATAAAAATATTTGACATGTATTGAATTTTTGTATTTTTTAAATTTTTTTGTATTTATTGAATTTTTTTTAAAAAAAGTTCACAAATATTATATTTTTTTAAGTATATTTATATTAGGTGTATCTAAAAATTACTAAATATTAAAAAAATTCAGTAAAAATAAAAAAAATACGAAAAACGAAAAGAAAGAACTTCCTCAAGAGTGAATTCTAAAAATAAAAACTGAACAAAGTAAATGTATTTGATCGAATTTTGATTAAATTAATATAAAAATAAATAAATAGGGAATATCGTACCAAGTTGTCTCATGTTAGACAACTTGCATCAAAGCGACGCCCATTTGGTGAAATGTCGTGAATGCCTTTGTTGAAAAATCACGCTAAGAAATGTATAATTTTGTGTTTATATTTTTGAATTTGTTAAAAATTTATGGAGTAAAACAGAAAAGAAAAGTAAATAAAGTTGGGTTAGTTAATTTTTTTTAATTATTTATTTTTTCTTTTTTAAGATGAAGTTTTCATTAACGAAATGATACATCTGGCAAGTTGAAAAAATTTATCTTTTTTTGGTTATTATTGTCTTTTGTGATTTAAATTTTTTTTTTTACTACATCCTTCTCGATGTGAAAAAATTTTGAGCAAAAAAATTAAAGCAAAAATTTAAAATTTATAATAAATATAATTTATCCTTTCATAATTTTATACAGATTTCTATTTATTTTTATATTATAACTTATCTTTCAATATTTTATTAATAATTTTATTGTATATAATTTTATGAAAAAAAGGACAATCAAACGTGATGAAATGAAATGATTTTGTTAGGATTTGCGAATAATCATTAATACGTATCCAAACAGAGGGGGACAAAAATCAAGGAATGGAATGGTGTGTTAATAATAAAATAAACCAAAAGATCTATGGGGATTTGTTTGCGATTAACTAAATACGTGTATTTTTTAATTTTTTAAATAAAAAAATAAAGGAAAAAAACATAGTTGTTTGAGATAACATTTTAATTTTTACAAAAAAAATGTATATTAAAATATTATTAAAATAGTAAAATTATCATATTACTCCTAAATATATAAATGCGTACTGACATCCCTTGTATCATGAAGTCAGTACTATATGGTGCATACTTCAGAACTGGACGGTGCCTCTAGTCTGAGCACAACACAAGACGATACTATTCGGCTACTGAGGGCCCACTACGGGTTTCGTTTTGATAATTGGAACCGCCCACCACAGGTCCCGTTTTGATAATTGGAACCGTTAATGTGGAGAACTCGTCGAGCACTATATATTTGCAAAAAATCACGTTGATCGGATATCAATAGTTATCTGATTTGATTAGTTTTTTGTTAACCGTTAATTTGTTCAACGTTCATTTTTTTATACAAATCTGATTTGATCATATAGTTATCAATATCTGATTAATGTGATTTTTTGCAAGTATATAGTACTCGACGAGTTCTACACATTGAACGGTTCAGATTATCAAAATAGGGCTCCGTGATGGCCCCCCACTGGCCGAACAGCACCATCCTGTGTAATTTGTACCATCATTTGAGACTTTTTTTTTTTTAGCAGACATCACTTTAGACTGTACCATTTTCATGTCATAGAAAGCTGGCTTGTATTTTTTTTTTTATGTAAATTTATTTTTTTTACATTTTTTTTTGTAAATAGTGATAGCTTTTTGACTTTTTTAGTAACTTTTTTTTACTTTTTTAATAATTTTTTTGTAACATGTCAAACCAACCCATAATTCAGGGTGTTTTGGCAACACATCAAAAAAGTTAAAAAATAGTTTTTAACTTATTTTAAAGTCACATTACTTCTCACATCAAACAGTAAAAAAAAAAAATTTAAATCAAAAATTCAATTTTTAGCCATCTTCCTAAAAAAGTATTTTAGGTTTTATGTTATTTTAATTAGTTTCACTTTGATCATTAATTTTAAATTTTATATCAATTTAATTAAATTGATAATGTCGATTAAAAGTTTTGAAGAAAAATAGTTATTGAGAATTGATTGAAATTAATTTATTTAGTTGAATAAGATTAAAATTACTCATGTGCTTATTTTCAGCCCAAAAAAAAAAAAATTACAAACAATTATAATCAATTAAATTAAAATAAAATCATAAATTCATAATAAAAATTGAACTAATTAAAATGATAGAAAGACAAAATATTATGAATTATCACGTATCTATATTCCGGGATTACTGAATAATTACTCAAAAATATCATCATTCTTTATGTCGCTTCATATTTCTCAATCACCCAACATAATAGCTTACTTATCTACCTTATCGACCAATCATAACATTATGAAGGGTTCAGCTTGTGTCATGTTAAGATCAAGACTGAACTCGTCCAATCTGATTATATCTTTGTAAAAAATTATGTTGATTGGATATTGATAGCTATTTGATCGGATTAGATTTGTATTAAAAAAATAAACTGTGAAAAAATAAACGATTGACAGAATTCTAATCCGATCAAATAGCTATCGATATCCAATCAACGTGATTTTTTTTCAAAAATATAGTACTCAACGAGTTCTATATATTGAATGATTCAAATCATCAAAACGAGATCTAAAAATAAATATATGGACCGAACTAAACAGATCCACTCTTAATCTCAACATGAGATAAGTTGAACCCTATTATGAATTATCACGTGTTTACGTGTTTATATTTTAAGATCACTGAATAATTACTTAAAAATATAAGTAGCCCAATAGGCAGAGGGTGTGTACAGAGTGAACACGGCGCATGTTAGTGAGAGGTGGTGAAGAAGAGCGAAGAGTTTGAATAATGGGGGGCAAAGGGAGAGAAGGACAGCGGGGGGCAAAGGGAGAGAAGGACAGTCCAAGTCCATGACTTCCCAAAACCATATGTATGTATACCACTATGTATCTATATATATAGTATTAAATGCAGCGGGACATAGTAAACATTTTAGGGTTCTTGACATTTTGTGTGTTTCCATTTTTCTATCCATCTCTATCTGTTCGTCATCCATAGTCATCTCTCTCTCTCCCCCTCTATATCTGCCTTTATTATTGAGAGAGAAAGCTAAACACACACACACGCACACACAGAGCTATGGCGAGGACTAGGTGCTATCTGGACATAAGTATCGGAGGAGAGCTTGAAGGTAGGATTGTGGTGGAGCTATTCAACGACGTCGTCCCCAAAACCTCCGAGAACTTTAGGGCTCTCTGTTCCGGTGAAAAGGGCATTGGCCTCATCACCGGCGTCCCTCTCCACTACAAGGTCTCTCTCTCTCTCTCTCGCTCTCTCTATATATATATTTTATATGTATATAAACAGAATATGCGTTTTTGTTTTCAGGCTGATTTTTGTTTCGGTCTTGATGATTATCGTCAGGATTCTGATGTTGGTTCTATGAATCTGCTAGAGCGGTAGTTTTTCATTGATTTTGGGTTTCAGCTGTAATGATGGGTTCGAATTGAAGCATGAAATGTTCACAACTGTTGGATTTTTTTTTTTAAAAAAAAAAAAAAAAAAAATTTCATTGATTTTGAGGGCATAGCCGTCTGAGTCTCAGCTGAAATGTTCAGAATTGTCATTCCGAGCTCTCTCCCTTGTGATGAAAATATTGACTCATGTTGTTGACTTTCATGTCACTTTAGATATGTATATATATAGTCATCTTTATAGTTCTCTGTTTGTAGCATGAATTTTAATCATGGACTGCTATGATAATAATCATGATTTAATTCAGTCAATGTTTGACCACTTGTTTTAAAATTGCCTTGTGCACTCCATTTTAGATTGCAGATCTTAATATGAGATGCACATATGTTTTCTGTGTAAATTGTAATAAATTCCGTTTGGGTTTGCTGATTTGCTTTAGCATTGAGCTGGGTAGGGGTGGAATTTTGGTCTATGGGTGAATCATATGAGCAGTCGTAGTACTTAGAAAGTGGGAGAGAAAATTTTAGTATATCCAAGTCTAAGTAACTTATTGGCTCTATGTCATTATGCTGAATTTATTACCTAGGGCTCAAATACAGATTTGAAATAATGAGTTTTATTCAAATTATTCTCCACTTAAGATGCAGTATCAGGTATCAACCTTTTGTTTCCCATATTATTATTGTTGAGGTTTTTGAATCATTATTGAACCTGTCAGGTAAAAAACCCGACCTTGTAATTTATGGACAATATGGAATTTACATTGTCGTTTGGGAGTTAGTCACTTTGTCACTGTAATCAAAATCTTTTGCATAGCATTTAAATTCACAGGAATTAGAGTGTGGAGTTGGATTGAGGAGTAAATCTGAATCCATTGTCTAGCAAGACTTATCATCTTGCAGATTTGGTTTAATTTTCTGACGCATGTTAAATGCTTTAAGTTCATGGTTTTTCAATAACTGGGATACTGTCTCATTTGGAAATTCATGAAACCCAGAATTTAAAATTTTGAATTGCAAATCCAAATCCAGGTATATATGAAGTTTATTTATTCCTGTGGTCTTTGATGTTTTTGATAAAATTCTTGCTCCACTTTTCTATAATATTGCACATATTGAACTTAAGTGGCTCAGAAACATGTTAAACTTCTTTGTATCCTTCAAGACACGCTAATCTCAGTCAAGTTTTCATAGGGTATGTGACTCAGTCTTCGCTTTATTGCCCAAAGGTAGGATTGAGAAATCCTTTTGATGTGGTTCTCAGTTGTTGTTCATTGGTTTTCACAATATTATTGGTTTTAGATCTTTTTTCCCCTCTAGTTATGAATGAAATTTTGTTCTAGTACACGAGTAGCATTCCCTTAATGCCTTTTCAGTAAAAATCAATACTACTTTTAAAAAAAAACCACGTGAGATGTTCAATTTCTTTCAGGTCGAGTTGCTTGTGTGGTGATCGCAAGATCCAATCATGGGAAGTTTTTTGCAGTTTTTCCTATGCTTTTGGAAAAAAGATAATTGATCAATCAGGATAATCTGGTTGTTCTTGTGATTTCTGAACCCAATGGCTAGGTTCTCTCAATATAGGAAGCAGAGTTCATGTTTCAGATCAATAATAAGTGCAACATTACATTTTGAAATTGGTAACAATTATTGTTTACTGATACATGACAATTTATTTTTTCTTTATTTCTTTATTTTTTTTGTTTTTCTTTTTCCAATGGTATCATGCATTGATGAATATTTAGTTTCTTTTGCTCTCAATAATTTCTACCAAGACAGATCTATTTTATCTTTATGTGGTTTACTCTCACTTAATGAATTGTATAGCCTATGAGACTTTCTTCTATGGTTGCGTAAAATTTATGCATTTTCCATCCAAAGACTCTATGCTTATTGAGAAAAACATTGCATTCTTGCTTTTGCTGAGTGTTTTATGTTTGTGTCTGCCATACTTTTCCTGTTTGGGTTGGGAGAACTGCGGAGGACTTTTTTTAAGTTGGTGTCTAACAATATTTCTTTAACATTTCAGGGAGTTCGTTTTCATAGAGTTATTAAAAGTTTTATGGTACAAGGTGGAGATATTTCTGCTGGCGATGGCACTGGGGGAGAATCCATCTATGGAGAAAAATTTGAAGATGAAAATTTTGAATTGAAACATGAAAGAAAAGGAATGTTATCAATGGCGAATACTGGGCCTAACACAAATGGTTCTCAGTTCTTCATCACAACAACCCGCACTTCTCATCTAGATGGGAAACATGTTGTATTTGGGAAGGTTGTTAAAGGCATGGGAGTTGTTCGGTCTATGGATCATGTTACTACTGGTGAAAATGACTGGCCAACTGTTGATATTATAGTTGCGGATTGTGGAGAAATTCCTGAGGGGGCAGATGATGGGATAGCTAATTTTTTTAAAGACGGTGATATGTATCCTGACTGGCCGTCTGACCTTGATAACAATTCCGATGAGCTGTCTTGGTGGATGAATGCTGTAGATTCTGTGAAGGCTTTTGGAAATCAACATTTCAAGGCAAGAAGCATATTGAAATGTTTTACCTTACATTTTATTTTTGTAAACCATTTGGTGTTTCAAATTCTATAACAGAGAAATCTATAATTTAAAGTCTTCAAGTGAGAGAGAATTGAATTTTTCACTTATTTGCTTCTGTGGCCTGTAATTACTATTATTTGAGAAACCTGCATTCCTTATTACTTGCCCTTTTCATGTTTATTTGCAGAAGCAAGACTATAAGATGGCTCTTAGGAAGTATAGGAAGGCTTTACTTTATTTGGATGTCTGCTGGGAGAAGGAAGGGATTGATGAAGGTCAACTCTCTCTCTCTCTCTCTCTCTCTCTCGTCCTAATCTCTTAAATTTCTTAATAGTCAATAACTTTTAGCAATAACAACTCACCTTATGTCTCCATACCATCTGAGCTCATAATTCTCTCTTTTTAATTTTTTTCCCCATTCTGCAGAAAAAAGTTCATGTTTAAGGAAGATAAAAGCACAGATATTTACCAACAGTTCTGTAAGTTTTTTACTTCACTGTTTGATGGTTTGGCATTTAGCTCTTTAACCGTAGTTATCTCGTAATGTCATTAGTAATATTTCGATAGATGCTTTTAGCACTGCATCAAGCAATGACCTCTACTTTATTTGCTAAAAGTGATCCATGATTTCAATGCATATCATTCAGCTAAAAATTCTAAAAGAAAAATATTGGAAAAAATCGATCTATCAGAATTCAGAATCAAGCGGGAACCACAGAACTGCACATTCCAGCATCATCTGTGAACATGTGTAGGTTCATAGTTTTTGTTAATGCAAATTTATTTTGTTTAATGTTGCATAGTATCTTCATGATCTAATGTCTCTAACGATTTAGCAAATTCTATGAAATTATTGGAAATGAACTGCCAGAGGCCCTTGTAAAGTCTTACTTCTGCATCATTTAGACGCATTGGAGAATGGAATAATAGGCTTCCTTTATTTGGATGACCAGTTGTTTGGCTTTGTTAACCTTGTGGTTTGAATTTTTATGATATGCAATAATGGTGTAAAAGTGATTTGGTTAATCAATTGGAGGCTGTGCAAACTGGGGCAAATCAACTCAAAGAAAAATAGGCAAAGCTGAGCTCCTAATTTCTATCACAGCTTGATGGGCTGGATTAAACCAGATTTGGCCCATTCAGCTTGAAATTTCGGCCGGCTGAGCCTTTAATTTTTTGAAAGGCCTGGAGTCAAATTAAAATTTGGTTCTAGTTTTGAGTATCCCTTACATTAGTCTGGCATAAATGTATTCTTTTAGTATATGGTAAATGTTGTGCTAGCTATGAAATTTCAAAGCTGCAAATATTTTGATTTTCAGTCATGAGGCTAAACTCCTCAACTTGCTGAAAATTCTTTACTGTGCATAAAACAAACTTATAGGGTAATATTGTCTGGGATTGGGCATGGGGCTGCCTTGGGACGAGGTCATATAGTTGAGACTAAGCTTAGGCTGACTAATGATCGATGCTGGAAAATTACGTATTTGTTTGCATTATATGTTGTGGATTCCTTGTTGTGGATTCCTTCTTGTGTTTGAAAAACTCACTATTTGATGTGTAAGTGGTAAATCAGGTGGTCTATTAAGGTCAGCCATTTTGAACTGTGCCCATCTAGCTTGGGCACTCTAATTACTATTGTGATCATCAATTAGCATGCCCCATTTGGGAAAACTTTGTTCATTGATGCTTTACAAGATGAGTAGTTAAATTCAAGATTACCCTGTGTTAACATCATATACTTGAGATTAACTCAAATTCAGCATTTTAGGGATGTATACTGTGGCTAATTATGCTTATAGATTAATCTGGCTAATTAGATATGCCAGTTGCTGACTACAACCAACAATTTTGTAGCAAACTTGAATGCTAACGGGAGATTTTATTTCAATCTTTAGTACATTTCTGAAATATACTATTGATTTTAAGCTGGATTTAAATTTTTTTATTACATTATATATTCATTTATATAGACATACATATATCATTATATCTACTGTCTGCAGTATGCTTAACTTGGCTTCTCAACTTGTTCATCATGGGATGTTTCATTTAATCTTTTAGGGTTCTTATTTGTTATGTTTTCTCTCACTACCATTCTATGCATATAAACTTGTAAGTTACGCCTGATGTTGTCCTATTTATAATGACGTTTTCAATTTGTCTAAGGAATTGATGTATACTATATTGCTGTAGGCTTGTAAATTGAAATTGGGAGATTTAAAGGGAGCACTGTTGGACACAGATTTTGCAATGCGTGATGGAGAAAACAATGTGAAAGCTTTGTTTCGCCAAGGCCAGGTTGGTAACATCAAAGAATTGTAAATTTAACTGCTAAGAGAAGAGGGGTTTTCTGGATAAAATTTGCCCCATTTATGTGGTTGCTTTGTTGATGTATTCTGGTTTTCAAAACATTGCTTTGAATGGTTACATCATTACAGCTAGTTTCTTAATTGAAATTTATAAAATTATTATTGCATAACATTAGATGTTATGTTGACTGCAATTTTCTTTGGTAGCTGCACTTGAGCTATAATATGTGCCTTCAAGCTCTATGTATAATAGAATATAGGCTATAAACTGTTCAATTTTCAGAGGACATCCACTCGCACCCCAAGTGTGCTAAATGTTTAATCATGAATCTATTAATGTTTAGTAAAATTTTTAGTTGTATTTGTCACAAACTTCATGTGTTTACTAAATTATGTGAGTATTAGGTAGTATTAAGAGTTGTCTTGCCTGGCCAACTCTTAGTTGCACGAAGCGGAAGCGGGCACGAAGCGGAAGCGGGAGCGGGAGCGGGGAAGCGTGGCCATGTAAAGGAGTCATAATTTGGGAGCGCTTATATATTATTTTTATTGAAATATTTTTAATTTATCTATATAAACATTTAAAAAATAATAATTTAATTAACATATATATGTTAGAAAATCTTATTTTTATGTAATATTTAATTAATTAAATATAACATAAAAAATATTTTAAAAAATGAATAACAAATAAAAGTAGTGAAGTGATATTTTTTAGAACACTAGTCATTATCTTTGAATAAAATTTATTATATTTTATTTAATAAAACAACATTTATGTTTTATTTAAATATATTTTTTTATTTTTTATCTTATATATTATTTTTATTGATAATATTTTTAATTTATTTATATATATTTTATTTTTAATTAACATATATATTATAAGTAAATATGATTTATAAATAGTTATTTTTATTGATATATGATATATATATACATATATTATAATTGACATATATATTAATTAAATATCTTTTGAGAGAGAGAAAGAGAGAACAAATTATAAATCAGAGAGAAGAGAAGAGAAAAGAAAAGAAAACCGAGAGAAGAGAAGAAAAGAGAGATAAATATGCCTATTTATTTATTTTTATATTTTTTATATAATATAATATGCCTGTTTTTTAATGGGCTTTGATTGTATTATAATTAGCATCCAATATTTTTTGAATCTGTACGTTAAGACCAACTATAGGCCCAATGAAACCCATTGAACATTTTAACGGAAGCCTATAACCATATGCTAGGTCAAAATAAAATATATAATAAAAAAAGAGTAACTTATAAATATACTTCTTGAGATTTGTTTAAAAATACGGATTGCCTCATGTGATTTGGAAATTACAAATACCCCATTATCAAAAAATTTTATTTAACAGAATTAACTGAAAAATAAAAAACTAACTGCTTTTCTATTCAATGATAATTTTTTTCTGAATTATTACTTAAAATAAATTTCTAATATCATTAAAATTGTTAATTGAGTTGATATTTTATTAATAAAATGGGTCATTTGTTATGAAATTATAAACTTTAAGGGACGTGATGTAATTTCTAGAACCACAGAAGACAATTCGTATTTTAAGTAAATCTCAAAAAATATTTGTATTTTACCCAAAATTCATAGAAATATGAATATTCTTCGTATCCATTTTCTTCGACATTAGCTAAATTAATCTAGAATTTTCCTGTGACAACATTTTAAAACTCAGTTTATTAGTTAAAATTTTCATTTTGCTAAAAACAACGACTTAGAGTCATCTGGGCATACCCAATTTATAAAATTTAACCCCAAAAAAAATACTACTTTAACAACTCTAAAACATTATTTAAAAAGTCAAAAGATTAAAAATATACAAAATGAACTAACTTTTTTTAACATTCTTTTTTTGTTGGCTTATTTTTAACTAATCTATTAGTTTTTTTAGTTAAGTCTTACGCCCGTTTAATTGTCCGGATTGAATATAAGAGTATAAGGAGAATATGCAATACTTGAGAATAATGATGAGATATAATATGTTGGAAAATGCTTCGGACCCCCAGTGAGGGTGCTGGGGGTCGGCTGTGATTGGCACAAAAAAACAGTTTTTCTTTTTTTTTTTTTTTTTTTTCACTATAAATCATGGTGTAGTCATTTGTAAAAGCACACAATTTCTGCCTCTAATCTGGTAGGTGTAGTTTTTGTACCTCCTGTTATATCAAAAATGGGAAATAATACATCACCTTCAGCAACACCATACATGTTATTGATAATGTGATTTAACCAAAATAATCATGAAAAAAGTATCTCCAGTCTCATAAACCAAACTTGAGGCAATCAATAGCAGTTGGTGGTTGCATGGTATGTTGGACCCCTTTTAAGAACTATTTCTCTGATTCTTTTTCCTTGGAAGTGTGGCTTTCTCATTTGGTTCTGGAATACCAGGCTACCATTGTCTCTTAGGAACAATATACAGTTAGTTACTGTGCTGATTCAATGTTGGATTGAGTGAACTTGTTCAGGCTTTTTCACACATTCAGGTAATGTTGCTTTTGCTTTTCAGTCAAGTCCGGGTGACTTTTGTGTATGTCTACCAGTTTGCATCAATTCAAGAAATTTTCACTTAAGTTGTGGAGATTTCTTTGGCTGATCCATCTTATGATGATTTGACCTTAATTTGTTTCGGGTTATAAAATAGGGTTAGCTACACTAAGACTCCCTCAACCGAACGAATATCGGTTTACTCCCCCCATCTATGAACCGGTACAGTCTAACCCCTCAACTATAAAACTGTGTAAATTCCTCTTATGGAAGAAAAAAATTCACTATAATGGTGATAGCATGCCATCACCGACTGTATAAATTACCATGTAAGTATGATCAGTCCCGCTATGCAGTAGTTACAAAATTATGTTGGAATGGGTTGTTACATTTGAATAGTGGGGTTCACCATCCCATATGTAGTTTTATTATTGGTTGGTGATACTACATGTCAATGTTGACATGGTATAAAGGAGGTAAACTGATGGTATTCTTTAATAGCGGAGGAGGTATTGGTGTGATTAACCGTATAATTTTTTGGTAATGACAATTTTTTTGGGGATCCTTTTTACTGGTTTTCTGGAAGAAGATAAATAATTGTTTCGTGGTGTTAGCGAGTTTTCTTTGCATTTGTTATGCTTTTTCTGATGGATTTTCTTTTCTTTAATTTGACTCCCAGGTTTTCATTTGAGGGTGAAGAACATAAGCATATATCCAAAACCGGCAAAACAACTGTACAAATTTCTGGCCAGAGCCAAATTTTAACAACTAGATTAATCTATTTTTATTTATTTATTTCTGAGTTGTTGTAGCTACCTGATCCAATGTCCATATTTCTCAAGGAACAACTACGTGTCTGGAGAGCATTCAATGGAGATATTTGCTTGACTAACCTCCTTTTTTTTTATCACTGTTGGTTTTCGGTGTATTGTCTTAAAATTATATGGGTCCATGATAATAACATGTGCTGTATTGGCTTTTACACTCAAGGGTTACTTTCTCGTCTTGTTTTTATGTTTTCCCTGGGTCCAAGCATCTTTGTTGTGGTCCTTACTCCTGGATTCTGTTTGTTGCCTCCTTATGGACAGAAAGAGATTTCTCACAGAAATGTGGGAACACTTTGAGAAAATGATTAAAAGTTGGTTTTTTGACTTTTGACTTTTTTTGATAAAACGTGTAAAAAAATTGTGAGAGATGATGTGATTTAAAATTAATTAAAAGATGAGAAGTGACTCTTAATTCACTTCCTAAGAGAGCCTATACTTTCTGTCTTGAACCTTTTTTTGCCAATTATGTGAGTATAGCTGCTTGGGTTGGGACCAAAAATTAGTTTTTTTCTACATCAGCTGTCTCAAATTCTTTAAGAGTCCTCATTTTCACATTTAACACATTTTGAAAAAATAAAAGCCCTAGGCAGCCATAGCAAGGAGTAGAGATTATCAAGAGTGCTTATATCAGAAAACAATGTGACTTCTATTCATCTCTTGTATCATTCAATCTATAAAATATACTTATATGCTTTTGTTTTTATGTTTTCGTTGTTTGCTATAACTGTAAGGAACCAATTCGAATATTTTAAAAAATAATAATTAACGAATGGACTATATTAAAACGAAAATGAAAATAGAGTTATTGATTTTTTATTTTTTATTTTTTATTTTTAAATAAAGTTACATTAGGTAACAGAACACTATTTAACAAAAGCAAAACTAAAATCCTCAAGGCACTGATGTTGCTGGTTGTCATGTAATACAACCATAATGAGCAAGATTTAAACACTTGATGAAGTTAAATGAGTGAATATTAATTGTGTCTATTTTACTTAATAATGTCTTAATTTATTTTTTATTTACTATCAACGAATTAGGAAGTTTATTATAAGTTAAAAATAGATTATTAAAAAATAAAATTAAAATGGATAAATTAGGCTAACAACCTTTCTCAAAAGGATAAATTATGCTAACAACCTTTCTTGAGATTCAAAAAAATATACTAAGTCCCATAAATTAGGCATAATTATATTGAATTCTTTTAAAATTTTAATTTTCATAATATTTAATCCATTTTCATCAATTGTATAAATGAAAAAAATAATATTGTCATATATTTTATGCTAAAATTTATAATTTATCTTTTGTATCAGTATGTTTGCATGCCATTTACATTAATTTTCACTTAACTAAAATAAAGTTGATATAATTATATTAAAATTGTGAGACTTTTTTTTTATTATTTTAAATATAGTATAAATTATAAGCAAAAAAAAAAAACTAAATTAACATATTTTATTTAGAAAAAATTGAACCAAATTCATTGCTCCACGTAATTGGCCGTCTATAGTTTCAAAATGAATTTTTTTTTTATCAGAGAAAAAAAGGATGCTCTAAGGTATCATCACGACATCTGTGGGCTTAGGGCCCATGATTCGATCAAAGTATAGAGTGAGGTCTCCGCAAAGAACCACTAAAATTACCCAGCATTTAGCTCCTCCCAGGAGTCGAACCTGGGTCACGCCTGTGGAGAAGGATGCCTTCTCCACTGAAGTACAAGTTGTTCCTACATAAATTTATGTAATAAAGACTTGTATCATCATTATTTTGAAATTATTTTTTTTTTGGCTGGCTTTCCTCCAATTCGTGATTGGATTGGAGGGTATTGTTGGACCTGTGAGGGCTTACTACGGGTCCCGTTTCAATAATTTAAACCATTTAATGTGTAGAACTCTCGAGTACTATATGCCTGTAAAAAATCACATTGATCGGATATCGATAGTTACATGATCAAATAAGTTTTGTATTAAAAAAATAGACAGTGAAAAAAAATTGATTGACAGAAATCTGATTTGATAAGATAGCTATCGATATCCGATCAACGTGATTTTACAAGCATATAGTACTCAACGAGTTTTATACATTGAACGGATCAAAATGAGACCCATGGTGGGCCTCCATGAGCCCAACAGTACATTCTAATTTGATCACGAACTGGAGGGAAGCCCATCTCTATTTTTTTACCCTCCATTTTTTCATATTCCCTCTATTTTGAGAGAATTTTAAAATGAATGAAGCACTAATAAATTTTAAAATATGATCTTGTGAATTGTTTAGTTTTTTATTTTTTCTTATGAACTCAAAGGACATATTAAAATAGAAAGTACACAAAAGAGTAGTCACTTACTTATTTGGATTTAATTTTTGAAGAATAAAAGTTTCTTTAAATGTTATATAACACGTTTAGGCAATCCGCACTATAGATGTTTTAGATTCTCCCTTCTTCTGAAACAAATCTCACATTACGAATAAGATCGTAACACTCCAATGTAACATACTTTAGTGTACTTTTCTTAAATGTAAAAACATAATACTCCAAAAAAAACTTGTTAGTGCATTTTTTTACCAAACGTAATACTCTAATGTAACACACAAAAAACTCCTTAGTGTATTTTTTTTTTTTCAAATGTAACGCTCCAATCAATATAATCTCAAACGTTACACTTCAATGTAACATACAAAAATATTAAAAAATTCTTTAGTGTACTTTTTTTCTAAACGTAGCACTCATAATTTGAAATTATACAATTGTCCAAAACTTACTAAGGAATTTTTGTACTCTTTTTTAAATGGTTTGAAGAATTCTATATCATTTTGAAATGGTTTGAAGAATTTCACATTTTTTTAAAAGTGTTACATTGAAGTGTTAAATTAGAGTGTTACACTAAGGAGTTTTTTTGGAATGTTATATTAGAGTATTACATTTGCGAAAAATACACTAAGAAATTATTTTAAAGTGTTACATTGTAGTGTTACATTAAGGAGTTTTTTTTGGAGTGTTGCGTTTGGGAAAAATACACGAAAGAGTTTTCTTGGAGTATTATATTAAAGTATTATAATTTAAAATTATACATTTACCCAAAACTTATTAAGGGTTTTTTGTATTCATTTTGAAATATTTGAAAAATCCCACATCCTTTTAGAATGTTTAAAGAATCCCATATTTCAAGTCATTTTTGTACTCATTTTGAAATGTTTGAAATAAAAAAGATTTCTATATAAAAATTCATCCAAAATTTGATTATCATAGATTGTGTATCTTATTTTTTTAGCACAAAAGGAAAAACAAAAAAGAAACATAATAGAAATAATAGTATAACCATAAATCTAATTTTCAAATAATATATTAAATATACTTTTTCAAAATTAACGGAACTAATTGGTCTATAGTTTTTTTTTAAATATTAAACGGATCACTATTCTTCAAGATGAGATTTATAAGTAAATTTTTCTTTAAAAAAAAGTAGAGTATACACAAATAATTTTAAAATAATACAAATACAAGTTGTTTCATGCATAAATTTTGGATACAATTATACAAGTATTAATGCACCGAATTCCATCAAAATTTCGTAATCAACATCTTGTCTGGGAATGTATTATTTTAATAATTTTTTAATTTTTTAATTTTTTATAAAAAAATATACAAAAAAAATAGAGATATATAATAACTCATAATAATTTTTGAACTTTTTAACTAAAATATATAATTGATAAACGAGACGTATGCTTGGACTTCAACCTTAAAAAAAAAAAAAAAAATCAATTAAAAATTAATTTTTACCTTCCACTTTTTTTTCCATATTATTCCCTTTTAATTTTTAGTAAATTACCAACATTTCTTCAGAAATGATTAAAATACAAAATTACTTGAATTTTGAAAAATTACAAATTAGCCTATGAGATTTATATTTACATAGTAAATGAGGAGTAATTTATTATACAAATTCAAGGAATAATTTATTATACAAATATAAATGTCAAGAATGATTTATTATACAAATATAAATCACAGGAACGAACGAGACGTAATTCCTCAAATCTCAAAAATCCGTATTTTAGTCTATCGAGCTGTTGGTAATCTGCCCTTAATTTTTCTTAATTTTTGAAGAATCAGATCAGAGAGAGAGAGAGAGAGATGAGTGTGTTCGGAGGAGATGGTTGGGTAAGAGAAGCGCAGTACAGGAAGAGGAGGGTAGATGATCTGGTTGTCGAAGGACTCGAAGCTTCGTCCTACAGGAAGCTCTCCTCCGGCAAATACGCCTGCCTCGTTTGCCCTCACAATCCCATTCTCGATACCCCTCTCATGCTCTCTGTACGTCCCTTAACCCTAATTTCATGTAATTGTACTAGTTTTCTGTTCTCTAATTGGATTTTTGTACGTTTGGTTGTGCGGAAAATGGTTGGACAAAGAAAACAAAGTGAAATTCAATTATCATCATCTATTAGGGTTTGCCTCTTTTTGCATCATATTTCAATTGGCTAAGTTCAGAATGGGAGCTTATAATTTTACTTTTTGAAGCATAAGAATTTAAAATACTTATCAAAAATAAAGTTCTCAATCAATATTAAGGTAAAGATAGATGATGGATGTACAAAACAAAAAATAACTAAAATTATATAATATAGACACTTTTTTTCTATATTGTACAAAACATGATGTTAGTTAGGTGACCAAGGAACTGACCCGGGACGAGCCCTTCCTATCCATGGTAACCTACCACCTCTTACAAATTAAAATGGGCTAGCTAAGGACCCCGAATCAAGTGAACCGAGTGCTACCCCTGTCCACCGATCCTGGCTCAAACCTTTGCTTCTGAAAGCTCGGGAACCCACTCTATTATCCTATGAGGGGATTAGCGCTACCTCATTTAATCGTCAAAGGTATAACAGTCTAGGTAGAGACAGTACACACTCCTAAAATGTGTGCATAACATAGGCACCTCCACTTCTAGCCGTTGGATTAAAATAAATAAATAAAAATTTGTTCATACGGTTTATAACCTACACTACTAAGTTTATAACAAAAAATGGTGGGGCGGGCACTCCTTAGCTATTTACAGATTAAGATGCCAAAGCATTGCAAATTAATGGGATTTTCTAGAGCTCTGTAGGGGCCATGGCCCCCCTAGCCAAACCTTGAGTCAGCACGAATATGTGCTAGGTAAAATAAACTGAATTACAAGAGAGGGAAGGCGAGATAACGAGGATAGGAAGAGGGGGCTTTTGTGGGGATGGGGATGAGGCCTTTAATGTCAATTGTGAAGCATATTCTATGAACTACATAGTATACTGGGCCTAGGGATGACAATGGGAGTTAATGGGGTAGATATTAACTCCCCAACCCCATTCCCATTCCCATTCCCATTCCCCTATTTTAATTTTTCTCCATTCTGCATGGGTACTACTCTCCCCATCTCCTAATGGGTTTGGATTTTCCCTAACCCATCTTGACCCTTTTTTCTTTTTTCTTTTTTTTTAAATCAAAGTTAAATATACATTCAATTTTATTTTATTTTATTTGACTCAACAACAAAAAATCAAATACACATTAATTAATTAATTATTATTTTTTTTAAATAATCAAATATATAATTTTGAGACAATCAAATAAGCTTTTAGTAATTAAAAAAAAATGTGAAAGAAGGTGAAAGATTAAAAATAAAAATATAAATTATAACCATCTCTCTTAATGGGTTTGGATTTTCCCTAACCCATCTTGACCCTTTTTTCTTTTTTCTTTTTTTTTAAATCAAAGTTAAATATACATTCAATCTTATTTTATTTTATTTGACTCAACAACAAAAAATCAAATGCACATTAATTAATTAATTATTATTTTTTTTAAATAATCAAATATATAATTTTGAGACAATCAAATAAGCTTTTAGTAATTAAAAAAAAAATATGAAAGAAGGTGAAAGATTAAAAATAAAAATATAAATTATAACCATCTCTCTCTCCTACTCATGGCCAATTCTTGTTTGACTACAGTGTCTCAGAAACCAAACACTTTTAACTGATTAATCAAAAACTCAGGAGCTAAAAATTTAAATTCATTAATTCATATACACCACACATGTGATTCCTAATTTCATTAATTGCACACTACGATTACACATTTCAAATTCATAATGATTGACGAACAAAATGGTTATATTACCTAGAGAATCGATGTATTCTCGGTGCTTTTGGCACCAAAGTCCAAGCAACTCGTCAGACACAGTCTCAAACGTGAAGGTCGTTCTCATTGGAGTTCCTCTGCTCTCGACGTAGTTGATTCCATCTCCACTCTCAATGACGGTCCTGATCTTGATTTTGGAACCTTCGGTGCAAAAATCAAGGACCTCCTTCTCCACCGCCGAACAGCTCTGGATTTCGACGCCCCCGGCCACTAGAGTTTGTCGCCAGCGGTGAGTGTCACCGCTGTGACTGTGCCGTTGACCAGAACTCAGTCCAAGAGTATTATGGACTCTCCTTCGGTTTGATCCATTTCGTGTCAAACGGTTTTCTATTTGTTTTTTTTTTTAATGAATGAGAAGAGAACCTAATTCTAAACCCCAACATATGGGGAAATGGGCGGGTATCCATCCCCGACCCATATCCTACGAATATTTGAAAAACACCATTTAATTAATCCAACGGATAAAAAAAAAAGGATAAAATCCATATATTTGGATCGGATCTTCATGGATATCCATAGGGTAGGATCTCTATTGCCATCCCTAACTGGGTCTAGGAGAGGGACACACATATTGCACTGTAAAATTCTATACTAGTATATATATAGAAAATATTATATCGAGGAATTGTTTATATTAGTAATGTTATATTTGAATTTAGGAATTTTTTTTTTTTGGGGGGGATGGGTAAGTAAAAGGGTTAGGAAATGAGATTTTACCTTCACTTCTCAATTTGTTTTGGGTAACCAAATAAATTTTTTTTTTTCTTTCTTGGGAAATGCCTATTCACAGAACCAAACAAAAAAGTTTTTTTGTAAGATATTCTTTTAATGTTCAACATTTATATTGATACAGAAGATATATCTTTCAATATTATGAAGTGTCTTTAAAAGATGACCAACCTAGAGTGGAGTGCAAAGCTTACTTGTAGTAAGTCAGGTTGAAGTTCCATATTTTTATGATCATGCAATGGACAACAATGATTATAGCTTTTTGTATCATTTATCAAAACAATTTTTTTTTATAGCTTTTTGTATCAGATGTTGCCATTTGCTCATCACTTCATCATTTTCCCAGATTGTTGAGAACTTGTTTTGCAGATGCACATCAAGGGATCACGCCATCGTGTGGCAGAGTCCAGGCTTAAGGAAAAGCAACAAGTAATTCAAGATGAGATAAATAAGAGAATAGCCTTGTCAGAATGTTCTTCCGGCGCTGCTAAGAGTAGCACATCCACCCAAGTTAACCCGCAATGTAGGTTGGTAAGAAAACCTTTGATTGAACAAACATGGAGGGCTACTTCTGAGATACTATGCAATAAAACTCCTCATCAAAGTGAAGCTAAGGGAAACAATGATGTCAAATCAAATAAGGGCCATTCCACATATGAGCCTTTTTGTTCTAATGACACGGGCTCTTCTCTTGCAATTGAAGCATATGGTAATTTAGTTGCACAGCAGCAATCAATCGCCAAAGATTTTACGCAAGAGCGTCGAGAGAGAGAAAGTTTACAGCAGCTGGCTGGAAGCGTGACGGTCATGGGAAATGGTTTAAAGATGAAAATGTGAGTTTCTTTTTTGAAGTGCAGCATTAACAGTGCTAGGCCGTTTTATGCTATCGCTTCTGTGTAGACATGTAAATCAACTGAATGATTGCCTTTTAATACCATATAGAGCTAACCTATTTCATGGTATCATTTATTTCAGGTTGAGTTTGACTCTGATGAAGAAGATCCAAACGTCTGTCTTGCATGATAAGTTGAGGAACCATGTCGATGTATCGTTGGTCATTTTACTTCAGGATTGATGATCGTAGGTTATCACATTCACATAGCCAGAGGGACTGCATGCTTAATTAGTAATAGCTTGTGGGTGACACAGATATCAATCCAGTTTTGCTACATGCACATAATTTGTGCACAAAAAAAAAGAATGTAGAGTATGGAGACAAGGGCCCTTCCGTGCACGTATTTTTAAAAATCCATCTAGTTGCATGTCAAGTACTGAATGGTGAAGTTTTTTTAGGGTATGTACGAGCCAATTCTTCTATTTGTACAGAAACTAATCACAAAACTGGACACACCAAAAACCAATTCTTCAATTTCTATGATGGTTTTTTGTTTTCCTAGATTTTTTTATATATGAGCTAAGGAGAGTATGGGATGCTTAAGGTTAGCTCGGATACACTTGGAACAGTGGTCCACCTTGACATGAATTTAACAACCTATTAAAACTAGTACACAGCTTGATTTGTGCAAGTTTGATTAGCCTGTAAAGTTTGTTTGCTACCCTAATGAAAGTTTACAAGACACTATTATTTAATTTGTGGTTTTTTTTACTTTTTTTTACAAGGTGAAAAAAGCTAGTGTTGGGAAATGATTTTTTTAGTTGTAGGAAAAAACATGAATAATTTGTGTGTTTGATTTTTTTATTTTATTTTTATAGTGATTTTTTAATTTTTGATTATTTTAGTGGTTTTTTGATATTTTATTCTACTTTAAAAGTCAAGCTGCCAAACAATCCTTGAACATTGGATGTTTACCATATCGGTATTATTTTTTTTAAAAAATAAATTAAGGGTTTAAATTTTGTTACCTATGTACAAATTTTATGTTAGATCCAAATAAAAAGTTTGACCCAATATTTGAATTGTTACAAAAATATATATCAACAATACTAGGTAGCTCAAAATTTTGTGGCTCAAATGGCTCAAATCACTTAAGATGACGTCGTTTTTAGTGTAAATAAGTGTAAAACGACATCGTTTTGACAGATTTGAGCCATGTGAGCCATAAAATTTTGAGCTGCCAAACATTTTTCAATATATATATATATAATAAAAATGTGGAGGTAACACAAATGTATGGCTCGAAATGTTCTCTTCCATTCAAATCTGCATAGGAGAGAAGAATTTCTTAAAAGTAAAACCACTTTACAGATCTGCATAAAAGCAAGTTTGCGTGGAACCTTAGGAAAGTCTCTGCTTTGAAGAGATTTCATTTTCAGTTTGTTAGTATCGAATCCAAAGACCAAAACACTCCAACCAATAAATCCATTTGAATCTTTCGGTCTCGTAGGGTTGGTGGTTGCTTGGTTGTTGGGAAAATCGTTTGCAGACCGTTTTGTATCGGTTGAACTTGTACAATTAACATTAATTGCAGTGAGCTCCCACTCTTTTATTGTCTGAAAGTATTTCAAATAATGTTTTACTAACATTTTTATCAAATGTTTCACATGTATGACTTTCATACTTATGTGAGATATTTGATAAAAATATTCGTAAAATATTTGAGATTTCTAACATTTTTCATCACAAATATATAGATAAGATGAATTTCCCATACTTATAACCCGTTAATTAAAATATCACATTCTCAATTTTATTGGGAGCATACTTGTTATATAAAAGGTTATACGGGACTTAAGCCTTGATTTAATTTAGGCTTGGTTTGGCATGTCCTAAATAATACAAAAAGTCAAAAAGTCACTATCCTATTTAAGTCACATCATCTTATTTAAATCACATCACCTCTCTAACACATCACATCAAACCCAATCCAAACCCAACCCATATAAGTCAATAAGTTAAAAAGTGTACTTTTTTAGAACATCCCAAACCAACCCTTAGTTTGGTTATTAAAAAGGTATTTGTTATACAAAATATTATAATTTTAACATCCAATCTGTACTTTTATCTCGTGTCATTGGAGTAAATATTTGGTGTACGTCAGTCACATTAACATTATTTTATGTGATAATATTTATTAATAATTGGGGCATTTACATATACGTTTTAACTTTTGAACTTATATTTCATTAAATTAGGACTTAAGCCTTGATTTAATTTGGTTTGGTTATTAAAAAGGTACTTGTTATACAAAATATTATAATTTTAACATCCAATCTGTACTTTTATCTCGTGTCATTGGAGTAAATATTTGGTGTCAGTCACATTAAAATTATTTTATGTGATAATATTTATTAATAATTGGGGCATTTACATATACGTTTTAACTTTTGAACTTATATTTCATTAAATTTTAACTAAGATTTTTAAAATTTTTAGATTTTTAAATTTTATTAAATTTTTAATAGTCGAAATTATCTTTCAAACAATGATTATTTATCATTTATGATTATCTATAAAAAAAATTGATGATTTGATATTTATTTTGATTTTTAAAACTTTAAAATATCAACTTTCAAATTGAAAAAATTAAAAAAAATTATGTGCAAATTTTTTATTTTAAAATTTGAAAAAACTGAATTAATTTTTTGTGCAAAACTGAAAATTTTGTATTTATAAAAGAGTATATAGATGAAATATTGATGTGCAAATCTGAAAAAAAAATTAAAAAAAACTTTAAAAATAAAAAAATTGATAATATTCTCAGTTTTAAAACTAAAAAAAATTGTTAGTATTTTTTATTTTATTAAATAATTGAATCAAACTAATAAATAGAATGGTAAAAACGTTTAATCTCATATTCTATTTTTTTCATCAGTTAGTGAAACAATTTTCTGGAAAATTATTATGCAAAATTAATAATATTCTTAGTTTTAAAACCCTGAATCTATAGCCTATGTCATCGGTACAAGATATGAAATAAGAGTAAACAGATATGGTAATGCCCTATTGACTACATCTTTCCAAGACAGAGCTTAGTTACAACAAAAATGAGTTTATATTCAATACAAATAAAGCTCTAGAATTGTACAAAATAAATACAACAATAAACAAAAATAGAAACTTTTGACTCCAAGTTCTCCCAAGTTATTGCCTTGGTGGAGGCATGTCATCAGTACCTGAAAATGGTTTCCTACATAGGGTGATCCAAAACTTAGTAAAGATACTCTAACACAGTGCATGAATCTTATCAGAGTTATGAAGTTAATGCATATGCAATGCTCGTGTCAAAACATTTTTCTTCTGCGACGTCGGCCATACCTTGAGCATAGGCCTTTTCGTCGGCCTCTTTGATTTCGGCCTCTTTGGTGGCCAGAGCTTGCTGGAGTTCTTTCTCCGCTTGGGCCTTCTGAACCTCGGCCTCTCTTTTCTCGGCCTCAGCAACTTTTCTAACGGCCTCAGCAGCTTCGGCCTTCTCAAGAGCTAAAGTTTGAACTTTAGTTGTAGCCTCGGCTTGATCCTCCAGTTTTTTCATTTTTGCTTCAAGAGACTTGATCTCTCTCTTCATAGAAGATGCTTCCCTTTTTATATCAACCAACCTTTGACGATTTTCAAAGGATTGAATGGAAAATGAGTGGGCATGCTGAATGGCCTGCAGAAAAACAGAAATATGAGACAGTACTCTCAGTAAAGAGCGGAAGAAAAAATCACAAGTACAAATAGAAATACTCACTTGGACGGAGTGTTGGAGCATGAGAGCGTAATTCTCATACTCACTAAGCTTAGCATTTCGTTCCAAGTCATTCGGAAGGAGAAGAGCAGTGCTGAGGGCGACACCAACGTTAATGTCGTCAGCACTTTCACTAGCCATAATGGGCCTATCCTCCAGGGATAGATCAGGGGCCCAGGGGACATCGGGCTTCTTTGAAGCCGAGGTCGTCGCGGACGATGACCTCGCCTTCTTCGATTGTGTAGACCCTGAGGGTTGGCCCTCAGCAGACCTCTTGGTTGAAGTAGAGGCTGATTTTTTGCTTTCTGCTAGTTTAGAAATCGGCGGAGCATCCTCAGCCTCGGCATCTGTAGCCCTGGCCTTAGGTTGAGCCTTTTTAACTCTCTTTGGTTTGGGTGGGAGCATTGATTGCGTTAGTACGGCTTCGGCGTCAGTTGGAAGATCGGCGAGAAGGTCTTGAACGACAGGCCTTGGACGAACCATCTCGGCAGTCTTTACAAGCCTTCGTCGACGTTTACGGTCAGGAATTGGTATTAAGTAGGGGGCCGAGGTTGATGGAAGATCAGCTGGGTCAGATGTGGACTCTTGATCTGTTCGGGATGTGGAAGCAGTTAGGGTCGTGGCTGTGGGTGGAGAAAGACTCTTCTTTCTTTTTCTTGGGACGTCGGGTAAAGTGGATTTGTATGTAGGGATGAAGTTTAGTAACAGTGGGGCCTTTCGTTTGTGGATTGGGAGGTTGAGGAGTGTTTTTAGATCTGTTCCTGGGAAGAAGGATTGACGAAATTTTTTCGGTGGCTGATGAAGATCTACAGGACAAAGAAACAGACGTCAGAAACAAAAAAGTATTAAGGACTTAAATAAAAACAACTAAGTGTTGACTCAGGGCTCTTACTCTTCCCCTCTGTAATTGTTCGAGGAAGAGGGTGGAGGTGGACATCTTCATCTGGGCCAAATTCCCAATTTCCAGAAGCAATGAGAAAATCATCTCCAGCCCCCTTGTTGGAGTCTGGGAGGTCGGCTACGATTTTTGTACTGAGTGGATCTCGATTTAAGGTAATAAACGAAACCCCTATCCTTCAGGTCAAGAGGGCACATGGTATAGCAGTATTGAAGGTCGGCCAGGGTAATTCTAAGGTTCTCTTGCCTAGCTAAGGCTATAATGCCATTGATCACCCTATAGGAGTTAATAGTAAGTTGCATGGGGTTCAGCTTATAGAAATAAAGAACATGACGGAAAAGGGGATGAAGTGGGAGTCGGAGTCCACATTCGGTGAAAGCTACTATAGGGAAGGGCATCGTATGGTCTGTGGGCATGATGGTATCACTGTCCCCAGCCAGTTTAAGATGAACATCGGCTGGGATGGAGAATTCCTGCCTAAAGTATTCAAGTTTTGTTGGGGTATTTACCCTGTGCCTCTACATACCCATTATGACAAATTAAAATATGTTTCAGAAGATGGGCGTTTTTAGGAAGGGTTACAAAAACCTCGGTAAAGATCTAAGAAACGGCTGATAAGGCTTATTTCAGTTTTCCCTAAATTTGAAGGTTCTAAGCACAAATCCCAAACCTAAGAACTATAAAGATCAAGATTAAAGGCACAGATCTGGGGCAGAAAAGGAAAAAAAAGAGAATCAAGAACAGTGGCAAAGAGAATGGTGAAAAAGTATAGAAGTTCAAGGTATAACCACAAATTCAAGATACAAATAAATCCAAGGCTTCGAACAAAATCAGTAATGGCAACAGGCAGACAAAAGCACAGAAAAAGAAATTGACATTGAAGGGAATGAATCTTACCGGAACAAGTGAAGCCGGGGCAATATTCACCGAGCTCAGAAATTGGTTGCAATAGTAGAGAAGGCTTCACAAGAATAAGGGATTAAGAGCAGTTCCAGAAGAGAGATTAAAGCGATGGTAAATTCGGAGAAGAAAGAGCTTTCAGAGAGAGAAAGAACAAGAAGACAGAATGAAAAAGTGAAGGAAAAGAAGAGGCAAAAAAGAGTTTTGTCAAAAATTTGAAACGGCGGCAAAAATAGGGCAATTATTGCGCCTAGAGCAACGCACGCATCAGACGGCGCAGACGAACGGACAGACAGCTTCCAGGCGCGTCACAGAAACGCTCCAATGAGAACAAAACACGTGAAAAGGAACGGTTAGATATGCATGACAGCTCATGCGCGTGGGAGAGTACGACCAAAGCCTTGTTCTCCGAAGAGCACACGTCGGCTGAAAGTAGATAATCTTGGCTAATCAGTTTTCGAACCATTACTCAGCAAAGAGGTGACAAAATATCGGAATAGGTTCCATCACCTCAAAATGCCGAGGTAATAGAACCTAGGGGGCAGTTGTGTGGATATATTTTCTGAATACCAACACGTGGCATGGTGATGCCGACGTGTCAGCCGAGGTGCCACGTGCCCTGGTAGTTAAGCCGAGGTAATACTAAGATTTTTAAAATTTTTAGATTTTTAAATTTTATTAAATTTTTAATAGTCGAAATTATCTTTCAAACAATGATTATTTATCATTTATGATTATCTATAAAAAAAATGATGATTTGATATTTATTTTGTTTTTTAAAACTTTAAAATATCAACTTTCAAATTGAAAAAATTAAAAAAAATTATGTGCAAATTTTTTATTTTAAAATTTGAAAAAACTGAATTAATTTTTTGTGCAAAACTGAAAATTTTGTATTTATAAAAGAGTATATAGATGAAATATTGATGTGCAAATCTGAAAAAAAATTAAAAAAAACTTTAAAAATAAAAAAATTGATAATATTCTCAGTTTTAAAACTAAAAAAAATTGTTAGTATTTTTTATTTTATTAAATAATTGAATCAAACTAATAAATAGAATGGTAAAAACGTTTAATCTCATATTCTATTTTTTTCATCAGTTAGCGAAACAATTATTTGAAACATTACTATACAAAATTAATAATGTTCTTAGTTTTAAAAATTAAGAAAAACTGATAATATTCTCAATTTTATTAAATAGAACTTATTTGGTTCAAATTTTTTTAAATAAAACCTAAATTACCATAAAATTTATAAATAAAATTTTTAGCTAATTAATTCCTAATAATTTTATCATCCAATATGTACTTCTATCCCGTGTCATTGGAGTAAATATTTGGTCTACATTAGTCACATTAACATTATTCTACGTGATGTTTAATAGTGTGGTGGACTTATCTTTTTTTTAAGTGACAAATTTTTTTATTTTAAAATAAAAATATATTATTTAAACGCGTGAATAAGATTTAAACTTAATACTTTAAATTTCATGAAAAATATTTTTATAATTTAAATAATATAAATATTATAATATTAAATTTTTTATTATTTATTTTTATACTTAATTATTTGAATTGAATACGTATTGGATGTCGAATCCACTCGTTTATTAATAAAACTTCAAACTGATAAAGGTGGGGATGGCCTTATCCTTCCCTAACTGTCCAAATCGGCTCCACCTGGCCAATTGGATGTTTCTTGAGGGGTGACTTACTGCAGTCAATTAGTGTTTGATTTTAATTTTTTAGATTTATTTTTTTGAAAATTATTTTTTTTTATTTATATATATATATTTTTATTTTTAATGAATATTTTTAAAAATGAAGATATTTTTCCATTTGCCTCTTCTTTGTCTCACTCTTCTTCACCTATTCTGCCAACCTTACTTAGATGTATCTAAAAAATAAAATAATTGTAAAAAAATATTTTAAAAAATTAATAAATATAAAAAAATATGTAAAATATATTGAATTCCTGTATTTTTTTTATATTTTTGATATTTAGTGAATTTTCTAAAGATTTTTTCATAAATATTATATTTTTTAAGTGTATTTATATTAGGTGTATCTAAACATTAAAAAAATTGCTTAAAATATTATAATAATTCAATGAAAATAAAAAATACGAAAAAGAAAAAATTTTAATTTTTTAAAATGTATATCCTAAAAATAAAAACCAAACAAACTGAATAGTACTCTAAGTAATTGACCCCATTAAAAACAATAAACGAAGAATGATTCCTACTTTGAAACGATTATGATGCGAAGTTGATTTGTTTTGAAGTAAAATATTTTTAAAAAATATTTTATTTATTTTTTACTGTTTAGTTGAACAAAAATTAAGTAAAATATTTTTTTAAAAAAATAACTTATTTGTGAAACATTTTGAATGATTCCTACTTTGAAACGATTATGATGCGAAGTTGATTTGTTTTGAAGTAAAATATTTTTAAAAAATATTTTATTTATTTTTTACTGTTTAGTTGAACAAAAATTAAGTAAAATATTTTTTTTTAAAAATAACTTATTTGTGAAACATTTTGTAAGTTATTTTTATAAAATTGACTCTCATTCAATACTTTTTTAAAAGCCTTTTCAAATAAGTATCTTAAATTACTAAAAAATTATAAATATTGGAATCAATTAATGTGTTTGATTTTAATTTTTTAGATATGGTGTCCTAAATAAGTGTACTTTTTAACTTTTTGGATTAAAAAGTTGAGAAAAAAAATATGGTTGTTTGAATTAATTTTTTGACTTTTTATGAAAAAATATGTATTAAAAACTTGTATACATTAGTATGGAGGAGAAAATTTATTTTTTGGGTTGTACGGCTGTCTTCATGCGCAGGTTGAATAGATGGTAAGAAGTAATTGTCTACTTTTTAGGCATTTCATTGGACCGTGCTTTTCGGCTAGTGGGGCTCATCACGGCTCCCGTTTTGATAATCTAAACCGTTCAATGTGTAGCACTTGTCGAGTACTATATGCCTGTAAAAAATCACGTTGATCGGATATCGATAGCTATCTGATCAGATATTTTTTTTTAACCATTACTATAACACCATCATTTTTTTATACAAAACTGATTTGATCATGTAGTTTTCGATATCCAATCAACGTGATTTTTTACAGACATATATTACTCGACGAGTTCTACACATTCAGCGGTTCATATTATCAAAACAAAACCTGTGATGGGCCCCCACGGACCGAACAACAGTGTGTTAAAATTGCACTCTAACTGTGTAATTTTCCTTTTGAACCCTAGTACAGATGTGACTTATTGTGATTGATGACTTGTATTTTTGTGTGTAAACTTAATTTTTTAATATTTTTTTTTGGTGAATCTTGATAATTTTTTAACTTTTTGAGTAACTTTTTGACTTTTTGTCTTTTTTAAGAGATGCCAAACTGGTGTCCTAAATAAGTGCACTTTTTATCTTTTTAGACTAAAAAGTTGAGGAAAAAAAGATGAATGTATTGATTAACTTTTTATCTTTTTATGAAAAATGTGTAATAAAAAATTATATAAATAAGTGTATAGGAGAAGTACGTGCAATAGGCTGTACGATACCTTTTTTCTGGGCAGAGTGTAGGAGATAAGGAAATAATTGCCTCCTTCACGGGCAACCATTTGGACTGTGTTGTTCGGCCTGTGGGGCCTACCACGTGTCCCATTTTGATAATATAAACCGTTCAATATGTAGAACTCGTTGAATACTATATGCTTGTAAAAAATCACATTAATCGGATATCGAAATCACATTGATCGGATTAGTTTTTGTTCACTAGTTAACCATAACACCATCCTTTTTTATACAAAATTGATTTGATCATATAGTTAGCGATATCCGATTAACGTGATTTTTTACAGACATATACTACTCAACGAGTTCTTCATATTTAACGGTTCAGATTATCAAAATGTAACTCGTGGAGCCCCCCACGGGCCGAACAATACAGTCTAAATGGTTGCCTGCGAAGGAGACAATCATTTCTAGACTAGTACAGTAGCCCAATCACGCGGACAACCCATCACTTCAGCAACAAGTTGAG